GGAAACAATCACACGAAAGTTTGAAAAAGAAAATAATGACAGAGGAATGTAGGATGGACAGGTTTGAAAGACGGAAAAGTGAAAGAATGACAGACAAAAAAGTAAAGATGGATGTGAAAAAATGGCTGGATTGATAAAAAGATGAATGAATGAAAGGATGCAAGATGAAACGATGGATAGATAAAAGATGGACGTAAAAAGATGAGTGGGGGGGAAAAAAGGGCTAATCGAAAGATGTGAGATGATTCAACCTAAAGATAGATGTGGAAAGATGCATAGACTAAAAGACGGATGAAATGAAGCACAGATGGAAATGCGGATGATGAAAAGAATGCAAACGATGGACAGAGGAAAAATTCAAAAAAATGGCCAGATGAAAAAATAAATGAGGAGGAATGAACGATGGACAAACGATTCCAAAGACGGAAGGGGGAAAGAATGACAAAAATGATGGACATAAAAAAAAAAATCAAAGACGGATGCGGGAAAAAAATGGCTGGATCGGAGATGCAAAATGAAATGATGGACACACAAAAAATGGATGTAATAAGAAGATCAGATGAACGGAATGACCCCGGGATCCCAGCTGGATGACTGAAACGATGTGGATTGATGGATGACAGTGACATGAGAGACGGACAGAGGTAAAGATGGAGTGATAGATGGATGAGGATGGAGGAGAAGAGTCGTTACGGTGATGTCATCCATACATCTGTGATGTCATTCCTCCATCACGGATACCCAGCATTCGTAAAAATATCGGCAAAAGTACCGGGACCCTTTTGAAGTGAAGAAAATGGAAACGAAATGTTGGGACGCATGAAATGAATTCAAAATGATTGATGAACTCTTTCAGGCACAGCGGTCACTACAGTGGACAGATTAATTCGTTTGATTATGAATTCCAAGTCCGTCCTCCAATCAGAGACCAGGTGGCGCCACGGTTGGACTGAATGTATTTTATTGTAAAGCTATGAGGAAGAAGTAATTACATGTCAATCATTTCTTTGATTTGCTCAGCAAAAATCCCCCCCCCCCCAAAAAAGAAGCACTGACATTGATTCCAAAGTCAAACATGCGGATGGACAAAAAAAAAAAAAAAGTCCAAACCTTCAAAAAACAAACAAACAAAAAAAAAACGTAACCCAAATATGTCACCCGACATTCCTCCGCTATAACGTCTTTAAAAACCAGGAAAAAAAAAAACAACATCCAAATGAAAATTGGACTAGCGGCGCGACGAGCCTACGCGAGCCTACGAACATCGGACGAGCCTACACGCCACATTTCCTTCACACGCTTCGAGTATAGATACAAGATAGATATTTATAGATATTCATATTTGTCATCTCATCAGAAAAAGAAAGACAACAACAACAAAAAAAGAAAAACAATCGCATGTACATAAAACTGTACAAAAAACAAGGCATCACTAGCATTGTTTCTATAGAAATATTAACCGACCCACAGCAAGTCTACAAACATGGACAGGCTTCTTCTCTATAATTCGGTAAAAGAAAAAAAAAAAAAAAGTATTCCGCTTCGAAGTTGGGAAGCATCGAAGCGGAATACTTTTTTTTTTTTTACGTTATTATTTTTTTTTTTTTTAGCTTTCTTGTGTGCATCATAAGGGTACAGAAAAAATTGTTTCCAAACTCCTTCATTAACCTGTTAGCCGAAAAACTTCTTCCAGATACGTAACTATGCAAAAAAAAAAAAAAGTAGGCTATTTTGTGGCATTTGAAAAATATCGCCTCTTTTAAAAAATAATCAATAAAATTATTGGGGGTTTTTTCCAATCTGAAATGATAAAAAAAATGATTTTTAATGGTCATTTGCCCTTTTTGCAGGTTTTCTTTTGTTTTTACATCAAGTGAACGTCGATTTGTGTTCTAGCAGCTTGAATTACATCAATTTAATTCATTTGTGAGGTCATAACAAATTAACAAGAAATCACGTTTGCAATTTACATGTTTACATTATAAAAATGCGGTGTTTTTTTTTTAATCGGCCAGTTTGACATAGAAAAATATTTTTAAATAAAAAAGTGTTTTTTTTTAATATTAAACCATGAACTAGAATAATAAATTTAAAACGTTCATTTGCACTTCTCGTATGTCTCACTTAATTTAATGTATTATTTATTATTTATTTTTATTTTTTTACAGAATGATAACATGACTTTAAGTCAGCTTGAATGATTCCAATGTAAATAACGTAATTGCAACTGAGACGTTGAAGCAAATTTTCATGTAAAAAATCCGGTTTGCGAATTATCTCACAATTACGGAAAATATATTTTTTCGGCGTATTATGGCAGTTGAAAACTATCAGTTTTTTTTTTTTTTTTTTTTTTTTGTCGAAAAAAACAAATGAGGGTTGTTTTTGAAATAGGAAACAATTAACTGGGATTACGTCATATATTTACGCTTCTCATACGTTTGACTTCATTTTTGGTTATTTTTTCACACATTACGATCAAGTTGATTTTACAGAATTAACTCATCAACTTGTTACGCTCTTTGAATCAAAATCATAATTAATAAATGTGGTACTAAAAAATAAATAAATGAATAAAAATTCAGTCCAATTCACAAGTTGATGGAATTTTTCAAATATTAATTTTTAGTTTAGCTTTTTTTTTTCATTGATTTGTTTCAGTCGCTTTAATCATCCCAAAGGTGTCCATTTTTTAACCAAGAGATTGCAACAAACTGTTTATGCGACTTCAAAATTACACTCCAGGTTTTTTTTTAAAAAAAGCAACAAAGAGCTTTAAAAGCTTTTTTAAAAATATTGAATGGTTTACTGTTATGACGAAGAGAAAAAAAAAATCTAAAGATATTTAACGTTTTATCATTTGCGTTCCTCGTAAATTTGACTTTTTTCATTTTTCGTCAATTTCCTATTAGTGGCTTGTATCATTTTGACTTTACGAACTTCCAATTTCGTCACTTGAAACACACTCAAAGACACAAACTTCCACTGATGGCTAAAAGTCTCCGATGAAATGATCCCCAACTGTCCCAAATTATTCACATTTCACTTCAGCTGAATGTCTGCAAAGAACAAGCGTCAACTTCATTTAATTCCTGCGTAATTCATTTGAGATTTTGTTTTGTTTTTTTTTTTTTTCCCACACAACTTCCTGTTAGCGGCTAAAATTTATCGTTAAGTTGCGAGATCGTGACAAATTGGTATTCAAAGTCATGAGTTGGACTTGTCAGACGTTGACCGATTTTCTGAGATGTTTTCTCATTTTGAATGACGCCAACGTTGCCAACTTGCGATTTTTGACATTTGACGTTTGAAGGGGCCCGACTGTGTTTGTGGCGAGTTGTCGTGGTGTCTGCAGATCGGCTGGCGAATGGAGGTGGGAAGTATAAAAACACAGTGTGCCCGCTCACTAATGTTTTCTTCAAAAAGAGAAAAATAAAATAAAATAAATAAAAACATTGAGCGCATATTGATACAGGAAAGCAATGATTGACTGATCACCTGAGAAAAATGCGACAGCCAAAAAAACATTTTCATATTTATAAAGTCTGCTTGTTTCATGCTCAGAATTATAATACACAGTTGAAAAAAAAATGAATTGTGGGAAATGTCGGTTCCAACGCTTATCACTCAATTGTAAAGAAACATTTCAAATTTGAGTGTCAAATTGTCCGATTTTGTTTTGGAATACAAAATACTTGAACAAACTGTAAAAACAGTTTCTTTTCCTTCTTTAAAAATGTTAACAAGCTGTTTTTTTGTTCATGAAACCCGACTTCCCCGTTTCCAGAAACCAAAAGATTCGGACTCTCGTCACTCATGCGTTACGCGCTCCACAAGGCACCCGGCGGCGTGAATGTAAGACGCGCTCAGCTCAGTGTTAGCGTTAGCATGTTGCGTGTGCGGGAAGGAGGAGCTTGGTTGATGTCGGCTTGAATTTGTTCCCAACTTCACTTTCGAGTTTAGATGAGAGCTGAAGGGATCAACTTTGTGTCCTTTGTTTTTTGTGACAAAAAAATATAATTAATAATTCATAAATGTTTGAATTTTTCAGACTAAATATGAGCAAGCAATGCAAGGATGGAAACCAAACCGGTTTTGACTTGTAGCTTGGCCTAAGAACATAGCTGCCAAAGTAAGTTTTAACATCGTAAAAATATCAACCAAAAAAAAAACTAGCGGTGTTTGCTAAAATTTATTTTTATGGTAATTTTTTGATTATTTCCAAAAACATTTTCAGATGTAACACAGGCAAGTTAGCCATGAGGCTAATGAACTACTTCTTCCTGGGGGGGAGAAATATTGGTGAAAAGGAAGCTGTAAAACATGCATGGTCTCCAACTAATGAAGCAAAAAAAGCGCCTTTTCATCAGGATAGGTTTGGTAGGCAAGGTTCGAATTCAGCAGCAATTGGACTAAATTTCAAGTTGTTTTTGGACGACTCATGGAAGTGGATGAAATGAAATGAACCGTTTCGAACAACAATGGCAAACTTGTCTTTTCTGGCATGGCTCCTTTAATGCTTGTTTTTGTGGATCTGCTCATGATAGACAGGCCTACCAAGTTTCAAGTTGCCAAGTCAAACTGCAGTGTTGACTTAATATTTCCATAAATTTTCAGGAAGCAAGGATCCTTTTAAAGACATCTTTGAAGCAAAACGGCAAACTCGCTCTGTCTTATTGGCAAGGTATCTTGAACCTTTTTTTTGTGGGTTATTTTATGGGATACACATGCCAACCAAAATTCAAACACCACAAATTTGGAGTTAGGTGTGTTTTGTAGGCCAGCGACGGCAGTGATTTTTTTTTTTTGGGGTGTTTTCTGGCAGGCTAATAAATAAAAGAAGGGAAGAGAAAATCTTTTTCTTTTTTTCTTCAGAGGGTCAAAAAGTCTCACATTAAGACTTAAAAAGAATTTGTGGCGCTGCTTTTAAACTTTAAGAAATGAACTACACTCTCTCTCTCTCTCTCTCTCTCTCTCTCTCTCTCTCACACACACACACACACACGCACACACGCACACACACACACACACACACACACACACACACACAGATGCACACACACACACTCAAAACCAACAGAGGCGGCAAAAGGCCACTGAGGGTCAGCGGAGGTTAATTGGTGGCAAAGAGTAAGCGTAACCTCCGTCCTCCATCTTTACCTCATGCAGCAAAACACGCCGGCCGCTCGGGAGGCGTGAAAGGGAAAAAAAAAAAATGACCTGATTCCTGACGGCCAGGTCGAGAGGAAAGACGAAAAGAGGAGGAGGGGGAGGAAGGCGGGAAGCATATGTTGGGCCTTGAAATGGAAATAGTACTTCACAACCTACTTTTGAAATGAACACGACCGGAAACGGACCAATTAAACAGAACAGGGACCAAAATCAAACAAAAATGGCCGACTACTAGACTGCTTCTGGGGTGCTACAGAGCGGGTTGGAGGGAAAGGGCTCACATCTGGGATTATGTCAAAAGAAACTCATTTTGGGTGAATCGTTGAGTAGATGTGAAAATTCACACAAAGTCAATTTACCCATCAGGCTTTGTTTCTGTCTGAAAGAATCATCATTAAAACCCTCCAAATGGATTAACTTGCCTTGATAAACTCATACAACTAACTTAGTTGACTAATTAATTTCAATAAACAAAGCAAAGGTCATAAGAACTATTTTGTCAAAAGTGAAAAAAAAAGTGACCATTTCGATCTGAAGGGGACGCTGCTGCTTTGACACTTCCTGTCAACTTTCAAGCTCCTTTGGATGAAACCACGGTTCTCGGTGCTTAGAATTTAAATTGAATTCAATTTTAACACTTGTGATGATTTAAATATAAATTCTGTGCCGTCAACATTTAATCCGGACGACAACAACAATCAAGAAAAAAAATGCAACCTTCAGCTCTCATCATGATGATGATGATGACGACAACGTTGAGAATTTCAGTTTTGACTTGGAAGCTTTCAACTTCCACTCTGGGCATGTGGATTGCTTCCCAACGGTGTTGTGCCATCACGAGTGTGTTGTGATATTGAAGAGAAGAAAAAAATACCCCTCCTCCCCTCCAAAAAAAATTAAAAATAATAATAATAATAATGCCAGCAGGGTCTGTACATGCAAAACTCATCAGTCCCGCGGTGTGACGTCACGTGAGCTTCACCATATTTACATGTAGAAACTGGGAGAAAAAGATTCCCACCATGTGTAAACAAGTTAAACGTCCTGGAAACAAACAAAAAAAAAAACCATTGGAAAAAAAAAATAGGCCAGGCTGTTTGATGTCCAGAATGGTTGTGGGCAAATTCTCCCCAAAAATCCAAAGAAAGAAGTCCAAAGTCAGGCTAGATAGTTTCACACAGAATACTGCGAAAGGATTTACAACATAGTCCACTCGAGGGGTTGTGGGGGCAGGTGGGTGAAAAAAATAAATGACACAAAGCATTGTTTGTTTACATTCCTTCCATTTTCTCATTTACAGCTGATTGGCTGGCACAAAGCCAGGTGGGCGGGGCCTAGAGCAGTGAGCGTAAGGGAAGGTGGGATAAGGGAGACTGTGCTATAACACAGCCAGGCACAGGTGAGGTGTTTAAGGGCTGGAGAGGTGCTCGGTAAGAGATTTGTTAGGGGTGGGGAGGTGTTCAGGCGGGCCCGTGAGGTGTTTAGGGCATTGGCCAGCTGTTTGGATATGTCCGTGAAGGTGTTAAATCTGGCAGGGAGTTGCTTGGGTACGTGGGAGCTGTTGGGTGAGGTGTTTGGGGGCACTGAGGTGTTGGGACGGGGCAGTCAGGAGTTTAATAGGGCAGTAAGGTGTTTGGGGGAGCAGTTAGGGCAATGCTGATTGGCTGATGAAGTGGGATGCGCGCACCCCTATTGGGCACTCTCCAGGGGGTGCCTAGGATTAGTGTATGGAAGGGTTTGGAGGTGTTTTGGGGCCCAGTGAGCTGTTTACGGGAAGCAGTGAGGTATCAAGTGAGATAGCGGAGGAAAGTGAGATGTGTTTAAGAGGAAGGTGAGCTGGTTGGGGGTGAGATGAGGTGTTTGGTGAAGTAATGTGTTTATTAGGGCAGGGAAGATGTTAATGGTACGGTGAGGTACTACGGGAGGTGGTTGGGGGCTGAGTAAGGTGTGATGTTTGAGGGCCCGGTGAGATGTTTAAAGGGGTGGTGAGGTGGTTGGGGGCTTGGTGAGGGGTCAGGTGGAAGAGGAAATGGTTTAATGGGACAGGGATGTGGTTGGGGTTGTGGTGAGGTGTTTGGAAATCACATCAGGTGTGTAGGGTAGGGAGGTGATACCGTGAGGGAGGTTTTTCAAAGCCTGGTGAAGTGTTTAGGGGGAAAGTGAGGTGGTGATGATGTGTTTGGGTGGGGCAGTGAGGTGTTTGGGGTCGGGTGAGGTCTTTAGCGTGACAGTGAGGTGGTTTGGGGATGGGACAGGTCGGTGTTTGAGGGCTGATGAGGTGTTTGAAGGGTGAGGTGTTCTGGCGAGCAGCGTCAACTGGAAGCGATGGTTCCCGGGGTGCGCGGGCCTCCCTCACAGATAGATCTCCCTCTTGGCGGCGTGGCCTGTGGGGGTGGTGGCCGAGTGGAACTCCACCGCCTGGCTGAGGGGGATCTCCTCCAGGCCGCAGTCTTTGGCGGGGGTCTGGCCAGTGGCCCCCAGGGGGTAGGCACTGCTGTAGGGTGTCATGAAGCGCATGTTAGCCACCCTGCCCCCGCCCACGCCGCGCTCCTCCACAGGGACGGGCTTGGGGCTGCCGTTGGCCACAGGCGGCGGGGGCGGCGGCTCGCGGGCGGCATCCATCTCCTGGTAAGGCACGAAGGTGGACAGCTTGGGGGGGACGGCGGCTCCCTTGGAACCTTTGCGGTTGGGCGACGGTTGGCCAGGCATCCAGCACGAATCCGAGTGTCCGAACTCGGTGCACTCACGTGTGCAGTTGCCCGTCATGGCCACATCCGGGAGAGGCCTTAGGTCTGCAGTGAGGGG